CAACAGAGGTTGGGGTGTACACTGTCCAGACACATAGCAAGAGCCAGCCTCTGTCCCAAAGAGCTGGCAGCCTAAATAGCCACCACAGAAAGCGAGTGGGAAGATGAACCATTATCACCACTTTGCAGATGAGGAAGAGAGAGGTCAGGTGCCTTACCCAAGGTGACATCTGGTGTCGGTGGCAGAGCTGGGCCATCAAACCAAATCTGCTGAGTTGCAGGCCAATGCCCGAATTACAGAAGCCTTCTTCCCTTCACCAAGACGAAGCTTTGCCTATTTTGAGAATCCTTTTTTCTGTACACCCGGCTGATGCTGAAGTTGCATTTTTCTTGTGCAGTTGTGACCGACAGAGAAATTCCCTAGTTCCACACGTCAGTGTTTTCTGTGGACTGCTGCTGCCGGGTGTAATTCCCCGTTTCTTAGACTGCCTTTGCAAGGCCTGTGCAGTGCAGTTGTAGTTGTGTTAATACTCGGATATCACCAGAGACAAGGTGGGAGAGGTCATCTCTTTTATTGGACCAACTTCTGGGGCGGGAGGGAGACGTCCAAGCGTTCTGGTCTGGGAATACTGCAAATAACAGGCGGAACAGGGTCTTTTGCATAAATGGCTCACACACGTTTCGAGGGACCATGCAAGGTGAAGTAAGGCCTATAGCAGTGTATCTCATATTGAACTGAAAGAGGAGCAGACATATATATCTATGAGTATTTCAGCGTGGCCCCATCCTCTTTCTAACCCCTCTGATTCTGACAGTGACAACAGGCCAGCGGGATCACAGGCAACTACCTGTTGTAAACGACAACTGCCGTTTCCCCAGGCCACGCCCCACTTCTGGCAAAGGCCACACCCACCCACTGCCATTTTGGGTATCCCCTTTCGTGCCTTGTTAAAAGTCACCGCTTAGATTCATTCTAGCTGTAATTACTATAAACACTTCCCCAATGGAGCCTAGAGGAGTGTCGCTGGAAAGGTTACGATCGATTTATAGCACATGAGAGGGGAGTTTGTGCGCAGTAAAATGGTTGTTTTATAAGGGCTTTCACTGTGCTCCTCTGAGGATTAACAACGGCAGTTACCGATACAGGATTTCAGTCATAAATAAGGTCTCTTCATTGTGCCGTGCGAGGAAGCATTCCTTGCATTGCGTCTTCTGTCCAAGTTATGTCCCCAAATGCCACCCTGAGTGAAGCAGCACAAAGCAGCGTGGGACACGAGGTCGAGAGAATAACTGTGGGGAGGCAATGAGGAAGGAAGGCATTAAAACAGTCTGGGCCAGTATCTGAGGAATTAAAAAATGAAAAGGAGTGTTGGGTTATAGAAAATTATGGGTGTAATGGGGTGGCACTTGCCTCCCACAAACACCGCTGTCTGGCCAACTGTGTGTACCTGCACTGCCTCAGTTTACCAGCCTTTTCAGCTACTCAGCCCTTCTGCTGAGTCTCACTCCTGTACAACAAACCCCCTTCTGGGATACACAAATAACAGGGTGCCCTAGGCTAGTGTTTCCAGGTCTGGTCCCCACTTAGAGAGAGTGGCGCCTCCACAGGTCTTCTCCTCCTGGAGACAACTTCCTCAGCCAGCCTCACAGTCCGCTCACCTTGAGCTCTGCCCTGCACTGACTGCTGCTCTGTTTTGCAACGCCCTTTGTAGGCTTTATGGTTTGGAGGACCTCTCTATGGTTCCTCTGAGGCAGGCAGTGGCCAGCCCACCCCCCCACACATTAAAAAACACTGATTAATGGTTTAAAAGAAAAAGGAAAAATATGCCCATGTCATGGAATGCTCTTATTTCAATCAAGATAACTTCAGTCTTGGAATAAAAATGGCTTGAAATTACTTCAGAGTGCTGCTGGTCCATGGATGTTGCCAGACCAGAGAGTCCCGAACCAGAGAGGTTCAACGTGTCGTATAAAAAATGCGTTAATTTGCTTGAATTTTTTTCTCTTCTGAAGCCCCTCAGCCAAGGAGCAGTCTAAAGAGACAAGCGCTTACAACCTGTTCACCGTAGCAGCTTGCGTATGCTTTTTAGTGCACAGAATCCTTGCTTAGCTTCATCATCATACATTCCCGGCTGTGTGTTTGCTTGGACTTCTCTTTCAAAACCAAAATACTAATAAAAAACCGTGTGTGTCCAACAAACAAAAGTTGTCTCTCATTTTAAGGTGGGTTGTCCCTCATTGTCCGTCGTTTTGAGCGTCACTCGGAGTCAGGGGGTTGAGCGGTAAGTGGCGGCCTTTGAAAAGACAGTGAATTCTGAACGCCGGTCCCTCCATGCTGCCGACATTGCTCCTCTCCCTGAACCTCCCTTTCCACAAGTCATCTTTTAATCTGCCACCGGAGGCACTAAGCAGTCAGCTTTTCCATTCAGTCGTTTAGACCTTCAGGGAGCATTGTCCTGTTCGCCTGGCTCCAGGCTCCACCTCCTGGAGAAAATACAGCTTTCCCTGAAACGGATTTATCAAGCGTTGTTCCTTTTCCTAGCGCTGATACAGTTGTCTCAACCAGCACTCCACCCGTGTCTATCTCTCACTGGAAGTCATCTTCAGCAGTGACTGCTCACATCATAAATTACTGGTATGAATGGGGGGGAGGGAAGGGACAAGAAGCCTCCTCCTCAAATTCCTTCCAATCTTTAAAAAACATGTGCCACAAGTTTAAACTTCCCCTGGCATTAATTCTTATTTTATCCCAAGTGCTGGAGTTTGGGGGGGTTATGTCAGAGAGGAGGGCTGCGTCTAGACTGGCATGAATTTCCGAAAATGCTTTTAACGGAAAAGTTTGCCATTAAAGCATTTTCGGAAAAGCACGTCTAGATTGGCAGGATGCTTTTCCGCAAAAGCACTTTTTGCAGAAAAGCATCCGTGGCCAATCTAGACACGGCGGATGCCCAAATCCAAGGTCTCGATGTTCTTCATCGTTTAACCTGACCGCGCAAAAACGAGATGAAAGGACAAACATTTACAGAACTGTAGCAGATAGGAGTGTACATAGTGGCTGTGTCTAGACTGGCAAGTTTTTCCGCAAAATCATATGATTTTGCGGAAAAACTTGCCAGTCTAGACACAGCCACTATGTACACTCCTATCTGCTACAGTTCTGTAAATGTTTGTCCTTTCATCTCGTTTTTGCGCGGTCAGGTTAAACGATGAAGAACATCGAGACCTTGGATTTGGGCATCCGCGCCTGCCCCTTCCCTGTAATATTCCACTGCCACGGTATTTTCAGTCCTTAAGAGAAACCCTCTGCCACATGTAGAAGCTCC